GTTGAAACGCCGGTTCGCTGGACGATCACCGAAGTTAAGTCGTCGAGCCTGGTCGGTATCTAGATGGTCGCCGGCTTTGGAATATGCTCTAGATGGTTGAAACGCCGGTTCGCTGGACGATCACCGAAGTTAAGCAACGTCGAGCCTGGTCGGTATCCTGATGGGTGAACGCTGGAATACCAGATGTTTAAGCCTTACGACTACATCACGTTGAAACGCCGGTTCGCTGGACGATCACCGAAGTTAAGCAACGTCGAGCCTGGTCGGTATCTAGATGGGTGAACGCTTTGGACGGAATACCAGATGCTCTAAGCCTTTGGACGACTACATCACGTTGAAACGCCGGTTCGCTGGACGAGTCACCGAAGTTAAGCAACGTCGAGCCTGGTCGGTATCTAGATGGGTGAACGCTTTGGAATACCAGATGCTCTAAAGCCTTACGACTACATCACGTTGAAACGCCGGTTCGCTGGACGATCACCGAAGTTAAAACGTCGAGCCTGGTCGGTATCTGATGGGTGAACGCTTTGGAATACCAGATGCTCAAGCCTCTACATCACGTTGAAAACGCCGGTTCTAGCTGGACGATCACCGAAGTTAAGCAACGTCGAGCCTGGTCGGTATCTAGATGGGTGAACGCTTTGGAATACCAGATGCACTAAGCCTTACGACTACATCACGTTGAAACGCCGGTTCGCTGGACGATCACCGAAGTTAAGCAACGTCGAGCCTGGTCGGTATCTAGATGGGTGAACGCTTTGGAATACCAGAAAGCCAGATTGGACGATACCGGAAGTTAAGCAGATGGTCGGTATCTAGATGGGTGAACGCTAAGCATCTTAAACGCCGGTTCGCTACGATCACCGAAGTTGAAACGTCGAGCCTGGTCGGTTCGCGCTGGAATACCAGATCAAGCCTTACGACTACATCACGTTGAAACGCCGGTTCGCTGACGATCGAAGTTGAAGCCTCGAATCCTGGTCGGTATCTAGATGGGTGAACGCTTTGGAATACCAGATGCTCTAAGCCTTACGACTACATCACGTTGAAACGCCGGTTCGCTGGACGATCACCGAAGTTAAAGCAAACGTCGAGCCTGGTCGGTATCTAGATGGGTGAACGCTTTGAATACCAGATGCTCTAAGCCTACGACTACATCACGTTGAAACGCCGGTTCGCTGACGATCACCGAAGTTAAGCAACGTCGAGCCTGGTCGGCATTTGGGTGAACGCTTTGAATACCAGATGCTCTAAGCCTTACGACTACATCACGTTGAAACGCCGGTTCGCTGGACGATCACCGAAGTTAAGCAACGTCGAGCCCGGTCGGTATCTAGATGGGTGAACGCTTTGGAATACCAGATGCTCTAAGCCTTACGACTACATCACGTTGAAACGCCGGTTCGCTGGACGATCACCGAAGTTAAGCAACGAGCCTGGTCGGTATCTAGATGGGTGAACGCTTTGGAATACCAGATGCTCTAAGCCTTACGACTACATCACGTTGAAACGCCGGTTCACGATCACCGAAGTTGAACGTCGAGCCTGGTCGGTATCTAGATGGGTGAACGCTTTGGAATACCACGATGCTCTAAGCCTTATCGACTACATCACGTTGAAACGCCGGTTCGCTGGACGATCACCGAAGTTAAGCGAGCCTGGTCGGTATCTAGATGGGTGAACGCTTTGGAATACCAGATGCTCTAAGCCTTACGACTACATCACGTTGAAACGCCGGTTCGCTGGACGATCACCGAAGTTAAAAAACGTCGAGCCTGGTCGGTATCTAGATGGGTGAACGCTGGTCGATGCTATCTACGACCACATCACGGAAACGCCGGTTCGCTGGACGATCACCGAAGTTAAAAACGTCGAGCCTGGTCGGTATCTAGATGGGTGAACGCTTTGGAATACCAGATGCTCTAAGCCTTACGACTACATCACGTTGAAACGCCGGTTCGCTGGACGATCACCGAAGTTAAGCAACGTCGAGCCTGGTCGGTATCTAGATGGGTGAACGCTTTGGAATACCAGATGCTCTAAGCCTACGACTACATCACGTTGAAACGCCGGTTCGCTGGACGATCACCGAAGTTAAGCAACGTCGAGCCTGGTCGGTATCTAGATGGGTGAACGCAAATACCAGATGCTCTAAGCCTTACGATCATCACGTAAGCTGACCATCACGTTGAAACGCCGGTTCGCTGGACGATCGGTTAAACGTCGAGCCTGGTCGGTATCTAGATGGGTGAACGCTTTGGAATACCAGATGCTCTAAGCCTTACGACGCGGTTCGCTGGACATCACGAAGTTAAGCAACGTCGATCTAATGGTGAACGCCGATGCTCCTCGCTGAAACGCCGGTTCGCTGGACCGAAGTTAAGCAACGTCGAGCCTGGTCGGTATCTAGATGGGTGAACGCTTTTGGAATACCAGATGCTCTAAGCCTTACGACTACATCACGTTGAAACGCCGGTTCGCTGGACGATCACCGAAGTTCAACGTCGAGCCTGGTCGGTATCTAGATGGGTGAACGCTTTGGAATACCAGATGCTCTAAGCCTTACGATCTACATCACGTTGAAACGCCAACGCTGGACGATCACCGAAGTTAAGCAACGTCGAGCCTGGTCGGTATCTAGATGGGTGAACGCTTTGGAATACCAGATGCTCTAAGCCTTACGACTACATCACGTTGAAACGCCGGTTCGCTGGACGATCACCGAAGTTAAGCAACGTCATGGTCGGTATCGATGGTGAACGCTTTGGAATACCAGATGCTCTAAGCACGACTACATCACGTTGAAACGCCGGTTCGCTGGACGATCACCGAAGTTAAGCAACGTCGAGCCTGGTCGGTATCTGAATGGTGAACGCTTTGGAATACCAGATGCTCTAAGCCTTACGACTACATCACGTTGAAACGCCGGTTCGCTGGACGATCACCAAAGTTAAGCAACGTCGAGCCTGGTCGGTATCTAGATGGGTGAACGCTTTGGAATACCAGATGCTCCTAAGCCTGGCGACTACATCACGTTGAAACGCCGGTTCGCTGGACGATCACCGAAGTTAAAACGTCGAGCCTGGTCGGTATCTAGATGGGTGAACGCTTTGGAATACCAGATGCTCTAAGCACTACATCACGTTGAAACGCCGGTTCGCTGGACGATCACCGAAGTTAAGAACGTCGAGCCTGGTCGGTATCTGGATGGGTGAACGCTTTGGAATACCAGATGCTCTAAGCCTTACGACTACATCACGTTGAAACGCCGGTTCGCTGGACGATCACCGAAGTTAAGCAACGTCGAGCCTGGTCGGTATCTAGATGGGTGAACGCTTTGGAATACCAGATGCTCTAAGCCTTACGACTACATCACGTTGAAACGCCGGTTCGCTGGACGATCACCGAAGTTAAGCAACGTCGAGCCTGGTCGGTATCGATGGGTGAACTGGAATACCAGATGCTCTAAGCCTTACGACTACATCACGTTGAAACGCCGGTTCGCTGGACGATCACCGAAGTTAAGCAACGTCGAGCCTGGTCGGTATCTAGATGGTGAACGCCGGAATACCAGATGCTCTAAGCCTACGACTACATCACGTTGAAACGCCGGTTCGCTGGACGATCACCGAAGCGCTAAACGTCGAGCCTGGTCGGTATCTAGATGGGTGAACGCTTTGGAATACCAGATGCTCTAAGCCTTACGACTACATCACGTTGAAACGCCGGTTCGCTGGACGATCACCGAAGTTAAGCAACGTCGAGCCTGGTCGGTATCTATGGTGTACGCTTTGGAATACCAGATGCTCATGCCCACGACTACATCACGTTGAAACATGGTTCGCTGGACGATCACCGAAGTTAAGCAACGTCGAGCCTGGTCGGTATCTAGATGGTGAACGCTTGGAATACCAGATGTCGCAAGCCCGACGACTACATCACGTTGAAACGCCGGTTCGCTGGACGATCACCGAAGTTAAGCAACGTCGAGCCTGGTCGGTATCTAGATGGGTGAACGCTTTAAATACCAGATGCTCAGTAAGCCCGACTACATCACATTGAAACGCCGGTTCGCTGGACGATCACCGAAGTTAAGCAACGTCGAGCCTGGTCGGTATCTAGATGGGTGAACGCTTTGGAATACCAGATGCTCTAAGCCCGACTACATCACGTTGAAACGCCGGTTCGCTGGACGATCACCGAAGTTAAGCAACGTCGAGCCTGGTCGGTATCTAGATGGGTGAACGCTTTGGAATACCAGATGCTCTAAGCCTTATTACATCACGTTGAAACGCCGGTTCGCTGGACGATCACCGAAGTTAAAACGTCCGAGCGGTCGGTATCTAGATGGGTGAACGCTTTGGAATACCAGATATCTTTATATACCCACATCACGTTGGAACGCCGTGCTGGACGATCACCGAAGTTAAGCAACGTCGAGCCTGGTCGGTATCTAGATGGGTGAACGCTTTGGAATACCAGATTTAAGCCTTACGACTACATCACGTTGAAACGCCGGTTCGGTTCGCTGGTCGGTACGATCGCTTTGACCGAAGTTAAGCAACGTTGAAACGCCTGACGATCGCGAAGTTACAACGTCCCTATCTAGATGGGTGAACGCTTTGGAATACCAGATGCTCTAAACCTTAATCTACATCACGTTGAAACGCCGGTTCGCTGGACGATCACCGAAGTTAAGCAACGTCGAGCCTGGTCGGTATCTAGATGGGTGAACGCTTTGGAATACCAGATGCTCTAAGCCTTACGACTACATCACGTTGAAACGCCGGTTCGCTGGACGATCACCGAAGTTAAGCAACGTCGAGCCTGGTCGGTATCTAGATGGGTGAACGCTTTGGAATACCAGATGCTCTAAGCCTTACGACTACATCGTTGAAACGCCGGTTCGCTGGACGATCACCGAAGTTAAACAACGTCGAGACTACCTGGTCGGTATCTAGATGGGTGAACGCTTTGGAATACCAGATGCTCTACCAGCCTTACGACTACATCACGTTGAAAACGCCGGTTCGCTGGACGATCACCGAAGTTAAGCAACGTCGAGCCTGGTCGGTATCTAGATGGGTGAACGCTTTGGAATACCAGATGCTCTAAGCCTTACGACTACATCACGTTGAAACGCCGGTTCGCTGGATCACCGAAGTTAAGCAACGTCGAGCCTGGTCGGTATCTAGATGGGTGAACGCTTTGAATACCAGATGCTCTAAGCCTTTACGACTACATCACGTTGAAACGCCGGTTCGACGATCACCGAAGTTCAAACGTCGAGCCTGGTCGGTATCTAGATGGGTGAACGCTTTGGAATACCAGATGCTCTAAGCCTTACGACTACATCACGTTGAAACGCCGGTTCGCTGGACGATCACCGAAGTTCGAGCCTGGTCGGTATTCAGATGGGTGAACGCCGGAATACCAGATGCTCTAAGCCTTTACGACTACATCACGTTGAAACGCCGGTTCGCTGGACGATCACCGAAGTTAAGCAACGTCGAGCCTGGTCGGTATCTAGATGGGTGAACGCCAATACCAGATGCTCTGGCCTTACGACTACATCACGTTGAAACGCCGGTTCGCTGGACGATCACCGAAGTTAAGGTCGAGCCTGGTCGGTATCTGATGGGTGAACGCTTTGAATACCAGATGTTCTAAGCCTTACGACTACATCACCAGATGCTTCTACGACTGAAGTTGTAACGTCGAGCCTGACGGCCCCATTAAATACCAGATGCTCTATATTTCACGTTGAAACCCCGGTTCCCGTGCGATCACCGAAGTTAAGCAACGTCGAGCAGTGTCAGTAGCTAGATGTTTAAGTTTAACGAGCTTGGGAAGAAGTGAAATGGTTGTCCACTTCTGAGCACTTGGTAGGTACCCTGATCTGGACATAGCTTTATGTTATTAATTATATACCTACGGAACTACCTTATATACCTATGGAACTACCTTATATACCTATGGAACTAAAGCTCTTGCTGTAGTGCAATATTTAACAAGTTTAGCTCGAAACTCTGTACGAGTTCGATCCTTATTATGTTCATTGCGATTGTGTACTTGCATTGGACCAAGGTAAACAAAATCACATCACATCTCAAGTCCCGTTGATTGGTTTCAACTTCAGAACTCTCTGCTTTGGCAGAGAGGAACCCGGACGAAGCTTTGCCGAAGGGCAAAGTTTCGTCCGGGAGGTAGATAGCCCTGAACCCGTCTAGGCGGGGTTTAAAAGGTATATTTTGGCCGAGGCTACGGGCTAGAAAACCACGTTAAACTCGGCCCCAAACACATACATTTCCTCGTGGGGGGACTGTCAAATATTGAGATACGTTGTGAGATACGGAGACAGAGACAGGATGTTCTCAGAGAGTTATACAAGAGTAGAGAGAGAGAGAGAGAGAGAGAGAGAGAGAGAGAGAGAGAGATCACTACGTCTTTACTTACAGAGACTTGTACATATACTTTCTACTAACCCGCATTCCTGGACTACTAATCTTCACTTACGTTTAATACACTTATTTTTCTATCTCAATTACTGGCGTGGTTTATTTATTTATGCAGGATTCCATTCCCGGAATCCACAACAGTATCCTTGATCATTTTGCTATAAATAGGTATTATTGGTATTTTTACTATAAATATATAATTTTACACATTCATATTGTTTTGATCCCAGTTTTGAGAGTTCATTATCTGCCCATATCTGGGACCCTAGCAAGTGCTATCACACTGAATCAGTGTGGACCTGGAAACGACAGCAATTAAGAAGTGGTTCCAGGTTCTTTAAAACATCCAATTTCCCAATCAGAAGCCTTGCTGCCAGATATAGTTTATCGTCATAACCAGGACTGTCAAGTCTCCTAATCGGTTCGTTGTTGAATTTAGATTTTTCCTTCCTTTAGACTGGTTGATACTTCAAGGCGAAAGAACCTAACCAGCTTTACTATTTAACCTATATGTGGGACGGAGGGGGAGAAAAGATATAGATTTATGCCTTTTACAAAGGTATTTTTACGAAAGTTAACATAACAAAGTTGACCCGTTTTCGAACTCGGTTCGTCAATTTCTCTTCGCGATTCACTAACTGTTACACTACTCACACGAATAGATATTTATGAATAATCGTCGAATCCGCTTACATAAATGTTGTCCATGTCGTCACCGTTGAAGAGAGCAATGAAAACCTCTCTTCTGCAGGCATTTGCGAATTACCAAACGACGCTCTAATGAAACCATCTGAATATATGCGATGTTGTTTTACACAATGGAAATAATGAAATATTGCCTTTGCAGTTTTCTCTTGTCTGCTATTGGATTTCCTAAGGCATATCTCGACTTGTCAGGCTTCTCAAAAGTAGATCTGATTTCGTGAGATTTTTAAGTGATTATTAAACTACACAATTTAATAATGTCTAAAATGCCAACCGATTTATCAACACGAAATACTTATCATTAAAATGTGCAGAAACTATACTATAAACGGTTTGTCTGAAAAAGAGGTTCACCTTGGATTATTAATTTCTTATAATATTTTATTATACACAACGAAGGAACGAGTTACTTTATCAAATCTGTAATATATTTGCCGGCCATCAGTGGGCTCGCAACAGACATGAAATCCATTCTTAAATCTTTGTCCACAAACTGAAACCATCTTACGGTCATATCACGTGGTAACACCCGTTCTCGTACGATCATCGAAGTTAAGCAAACGTCGAGACTGGTCAGTAATTAAATGGGTAACCGCTTGGGAATACTAGCTGCTATAACTTTTGATGAAAAAAAATAGTGTAATGGATAATGCCTTAGAATTGTTAATCGGTGAGCCGAGTTCCAATTCCCGTTGGGTTCGTTATATTCACTTACGCGCAAATACCTGGGGTAGGTATGAATGCATCTTTTCTTCCCCAGCTATGGGTTAATTAGTAAGACTAGTATCACTAAACAATTCTTAAAATCTAGAAATATTTTCTGGTATTAATAACCTGAAAAGTTATAGAAAAATAAAGCTGTAGAAAACGAATTAATAGAGCCATGATATTTATATATAAAATAGTTATTTTTTTATCATAATCTGTTAATATATGGTAGATTTTTTTTAATTACATATCTTTTGTTTGTAGTACTTTATCAAATACGTTTTAATTACTGATGCATTTTCTGGGGCAATGTTAATAAAAGTACTGTGATATATTTGTTTGAAAATATTGTTATATGTAAATAAATCCTTATTATTAACGCTTGTACTTCAGTCTGTCTTATTAGACGTTCAGATGGGACAGAAAATATATAAATAAATACACATTGATAATTATTGTGTAGCTTGATTGGTATAGTCAATATGTCATGTTCAAATGATAACAATACATGGTAGCATGTGGTCATACAGATTTAGACGAGCAAGTTACGTTGTCACAGTACGATTCAACTAATTTATTAACTTCTTCACCCTGTGATATAATGATTGGTAAGTTTAGAAAAGGCTGTTGAAGAATCAATCCGAAATAAACATGATGCTTTTAGGATAGATTATTTAAATGAAATTAACTGCTGAAGATGGCAAGATATAAAAGATTTGCATCAACAAGTCGTTCAGCTGAGTTCAACTGTAACCAGTTTTTGCTTGTACGCTTTTATGGTTGAACCATTCGACAGTTTAAAAAGGTCAACTGGAAAGCAATATAAACATTTTCACTTTTCTGTATCCTTCTGAAAGCTTGCCGCCAATTTGTGTATACTGATGAAAAACAAGTATTTCATTACTATTGTTCACCCAATACAAGACGCAAAAGCCACTCAAAGTAGAGGGTCACTAGTCGAGGTTGTTTTAGCGGCGCACATGTATGTTAAATAGTGCCTGAGCCTCGACCTGAAGAAGTTAAGATTGTAGTGATCGGAAAATTATCCTATCGTAAGTCCGTTCTCCAATGCAACAGTTCTAAAAAAGAAGCTGTCTGAGTAGAACTTCTTCCTTACTAGTGGAATATGAAGGGAATGAGGATGAGTCGACTCATGAGGTCGACTGTCGGGTCCTAGCTGTGACGATCTGGACTAGTTGAACGACAAAGTGGACACAAACATATTTAAAGCATAACCTAAAAAAGACCATCAAAGTAAACTTTTAATCAGGTTAATGCGATTGATTAGGCATGATCGATTTCAAGCTCTTACCATAATTAAAGTGTATCTATTGTCAACATTTAGAGCGTTTGAAAAAAAGGCCCAGTTGGGTTAATCGAAAAGGTGTGGGCGCCATCATACAGGGAACCCATACAAAAATCATATTTAAAAAGAGTGAAGACATTAGCTACGAAAAATATTCGACAACTTCCTTATTTTTCAGTTCATCCTCTATTATCAGTTTATCACCGATTCCATGGTTTACAGAACCATTTTGATGTACTAGTTCTTAAAACACATGAAAGAGTGAAGACGACTCTTTCTCTCTCTCTCTTTCTCTCGTTCTGTTCTTCTAGACCAAAAGTCTCATTAAAAGACATTTTTTACAATGAAGTGTGTGAATCAAATTGCTACCAGTCAATGTTACTTATTACAGTAGATGTTTGTTGTCAGCAGTCAGTGTTTGAACACTTATTTGAGCAGAAACCCTAGTATGATATGGTCACATCATAGATTAAATATTTCAGATAGGGAAAAAAATTGCTTTTGCTATTCACAAGATATTATTTTGTAAAGTTGAGGGGTAATCTTTACATGGTTGAAACTGAAATCTGAAAGCAAAAGAAAAAATCATTACATTAAACGCTTAAACTTAATTTAGATTTAGAATCGGTCCAAGTTATTGTAACACCCTTTATATATATATATATATATATATATATATATATATATATATATATATATATATATATATATATATATATTGGTGCCACAAATTTCCATACATGGAAAATACAAGTGCATTGGTATTTGGATCAGCAGTTTCCAGATGCTTGGATTGGTTGGCGTGGTTCTGTGGAGTGGTCTCCAAGATTCCCAGATCTCTCCCTACTTGATTTCTGTCTTTGGGGGCACTTGAAGCCCATGGTGCATCAGGTGAAGATACGAGACATAAATCATCTCAAGGAATGTAACACCAACGCCATTACAAGCATAACTTTAACTGAGCTAATACGTGTTCATCAGCAGTTTCGAAACAATGGTAATCATATAGAACATATTATATAAATAAAAACAGTTGTCCACATAAATAAATGTTTATTTTTTTCTATGTATGGAAACTTATGGCCCACCATATATATATATGTGTGTGTGTGTGTGTATATATATATATATATATATTTATATAAGGTCTGTCTTAAAAGAAACTGGGTATGCTGTGTGATCTATGGGCGAAAGAGGGATAAGCAGATTGTGTTATCATCTAATATGATATCTTAGGAGTATATAACTGTAATCATAGCTTTCTATAACCATTTCCTTTTTTTCACATGCAAGAGTCATGGTAGGAAAAATTGTGGCCGCTTCATCACGACAATGCAACCTCTCACAACGCCCTGAGCATCCGGCAGTTACTGGCTGAGAACATCGCCGTACTGGAACAATCTACATTATTCAACTGATCTTGCTCCCTGTGACTTTTTCTTTTCACCAAGATCAAGGGGACTGATATGTCCCGGAAAGGGATATATTTGATCGAAGTAGCTAAGTGGATTTGGCTACTGTAACCAAGTAGTACACGGTAGCAGTAATCGACTGGTACTCGTTGTAGTCGCAGGTAATAGGTGTAGACCAATAGGATAACCAATGGCTTAGTCCAATAGGCGTCGTCATAGACTTAAACTCTGTCGTACCTACACGTCCGTCTGTATTTATGACGAATACCAGTCAACCATATTCCAGTGAGGGGGAACTCAGGTATATGCATATTCCATTATATCAGGGACCATCAAGGGGACCTGTTTTAAAAGCATCGAGGTCATCAGGAGGGTCGTAACGACGGAGCTGACGGGCATCCAAGAAGAATCATTCCAGCAATGCACAGAAGCGTGGCAGAGAAGGATGGGAAAGTGCATTAGATTCTAGAGGGGTTACTTTGAAGGGAAAACCAAATAGTTTATTGCTTGGAATTGAAATGAATTTTTGTGACACCAGTCCCGTTACTTTTCAGAAAGACATACAGAGTGTATCAAAAATATTTTTCATACATTGGTGGCGAATTCCTGACACCAAAACAAGCCCAAAAGTCCATATAAAAATATGTCCGCAAATCCTGCGTTTTTGAGTTATCAAATTTAAAAAAAAGTTTAAGGTTAATGACGTTGTGTTGCCATTTAGACTAACTTACATTTGTCATTCGTGTACATTTGTGGCTAGTCTGCAACGTTTAACGTGTGTAGTAGCGATTTGAATGAGAAGCGTCCCGTTTAACAGTGACAGGATATTCATATTGTGAGCAGGCAGATATGATTTTTTCATACGGCCGCGCGAATGGTCATCGACGTTACGTTGTACAGCTGTATCAGATTGCGTTTCCAGACCGAAGGCAGCCGAGTCGTCCAACCTTTGCTGCTGTTTATCGTGGCGTTGCTGAGACAGGATCGGTGGCACCACAAACTTTGGCCCGAGAAAGACCGAGATCCGCTCGTAGGCCTGACCACGATGAACACATACAGGCTGTCGATGACGATCCAGGTATCATACATCAAGTAGCCCTAGCATATCGTACATCTCATAGTACCGCTTGTCGGGTACTTCAAGGGTAGCTCCTGTATCTGTATCATATGCAACGTGTGCATGGTCTTTCACCCCCTGATCACACACCACGGGGGAGCTTTTGCCGATGGTTTATTGCACAAACTACAGATCCGTTGTTTGCCACTTCAGTCTTGTTTACGGATGAGGCAACATTTAAAAGAAATGGAATAACAAGTCTACACAATCAACATTTGCGGGCGGATCGGAATCCCGAGGGTACAATACAGGCTAGACACCAGCATCAGTTTACGATTAATGCATTGGCTGGGATTGTACTTGACTGTCTAGTAGGTCCATATGGTCTCCCGGCACGTCTTGCAAAAGCTGTCTACAAGGACTTTATTTCGAACACACTTCCAGACCTGCTAGCCACCTAAAACGATTGGGTTATGCAACCGACATTAATAATGCAAAGACGCTTCCTCAACGTGTCATGGAGACCTGCGAAACCATTCAACACCGTGGAGGAATATATTAAAGCGTCCGCCATCCAATGATCCGACGGGTGCATGCGTGTGTTGAAGCAAGGGGAGGACATTTTGAAAATTTGGTATGAGTTTCTGTGTTGAAGATATGTTTATATGGACATTTTACCTTGTTTTGGTGTCAAGAATCTGCCGCCAAAGTTTATAAAAGTATTTTTGCGTAATATGTTAGATTGTACATAACAGCGTCTACTGTAAACTTTAAACTTAATAACTCCAAAGCGAAGGATTTGCGGACATATTTTTATATGAACTTTTTTCCTTATTTTGTTATGAGGAACCCGCTCTGTATATCTATTAGGAGAAGGAACAATTTTAGAAGAAAGTAGTATGGAAAGAAGTGGAAAAAGAAGTGGAAAAAGATTTCGTGTGACGTGTTCCGTCCTTTAAGATCTAATTGGACGTTTATATTTACGCTGATGTGGTGACATGCGCACGAATGAGAGACGCTGGGAATTTTAAATTTAAAAACATTTTTTTTTAATAATCTGTGTTTTAGGTATATAAGCTAGAAAATTTCATTTAGTTTCTTTTTATTTTTGTTTATGATTCCATCACTTTT